TAAAAAAAAGTTTTAAAGTCATCCACGTTTTTAAGTCCTTGAGGCAGTCTTGAATTTTATTTAGATGATTGGTTTCATCAGGCTTGATGGATAAATATAGGTGAGTATCATCCGCATAACAATGAAAATGTACAGAATGATTCCTTATAATATTGCCTGAGGGAAGCATATATAATGTGAACAAAATAGGTTAATATGCTGTAAATGTATACATCAATGAAAGTAGTGGATTCACAGAGGGCGCCTGACAAAGGTTAAGTGTAGAGCAGTGTGTTTGAGTCTACATATCCTTTTAGAATTATTCAGGTCACTTTTTTATTTGACAGTCAGAGTGTGTGTGAGATGGAAATAGATGATGGCGCGGTAGATGTGGTGATTTTGATTGCAAATGTGTTGAACCAGTGTAAGACATTCAGATCCACAGAGCTGTCTGAAGATGATATTCACATCTGCTCAGCCTAATTACAAAGTTCTTTCATATAGAAATATGATAGGATCAGGTCATAGCATCTTCTAATTTCAATAAAAGGGCAGCTGTTGCGAGGTGAGGGATGATGTGCCTTCAAGGATGTAATCATAAACTATACCCTGTAGTCAATTAGAGAGAATGAACTAAATAAAAACCTTAGAACCCAGTCCCTATATCTGTCTGCAATCCAAGCTAGATGGATCACGGTCTTGTCTCCTGCTCTCCCTTTTCCATGTCTACTCATACTCTCTCTATAAATACATAAGGTGCTGTTTCCAAGGTAACAACTCTATGGAGAATTGGCCCCCTGAAATCTAGATGGAGCGGAAGAGGAGGGTTAATTGTGGTCTGTAGGCTCTCTGATGGTCGGGAAAAGACCCTTGTTTCACTGTGGCACCATCTGTCCAGCTGTACCCTGAAGTCTGGAACCTGGGACTAATGTGTTTTATTTATAAATATCTCATCCTCCAAGCAAATTGTAATGTTGAACAGAAAAAAATACATTCTCAATATAAATAATTCCATTTATTTTTCGATACATTTCCCATAAAATAATATACATTTATTGCTGAATGGATCATTTTAAATATTTCTCCAACAAGTTTCTGCATTCAAGATCTCTCTTATAGTGCAGTGTGAAGCCACATATACTTACTTATTAGCAAATGAATGTTCAATGTGTCATTAATGAAAATATTACAAATGAATCAACAGTTACTTCCATTTTGTTTTTAATTGTATCTATGAAAGAGTGGTTCTATGGTGTGGAGATTGGTCGACAAGATGTTCAAACCAGTGTCAAGGCAAGATGGTATGTCTTTCGGTGGAATATTTGTTCCTCTTCTGGTTGCTTTATTTTGAAAGTATTTGCCAGAAATGAAATGTCAGTAAACTATTCATCTCCTCTCTTTAATTAGTATGTACTGCCATCCAGTGGTTATATTCAGGAAATGCAACAGTACCTTTATTACTTGTCCATTTACAAAATATGTTTATTTCTCCTGCTAATTGCTTATGACAAAATTAAATGAATAGAATACTGAGATGAGGTAAATAATGATTTTTTTTTAAAAGGTATCGATTCTGCCAGATTATTCTCACACTTTTCATCACATCACCAACAATCTCTCTTTAGGAAAATACTCTAAATACATTATGAGCAGCACACAGATTTAGGATTCAAACAACAATTCTGAAAGATTAAACTGACTAAACACTAAACAGGATCAACATACTGTGTAATTATTTGAGCTTAATTGTGCTGTTGGATGTGTGGACACCAAGGAAGAAGGAAAGGAGGTTGAGGTAACTCCTTACTCACCTTCACAAACACCCCTCTAAAAAGATAACCCTACATTACACCAACGTAGGGGAGCAGTGGCCAAAATGTCCAGTGAGGAGGAGAAAAGAATAAAGGAATAATCCAGTAATTCAATATATATGATTCTAAATTGGGTCATTACGAACAGTAAGTACTTTGACTATTGGTATTTTAACAATTTTTTTATGCCAATACGTCTCAGTTTATGCTTCTTTATACTTCTACTGCACTACATTTTAGAAACCAGTATTGTACTTTTTACTCCATTACATTTATTTGACAGCTTTTAGTTACTAGTTAGATATATATTATTAGATTATTCAAAAAGACAAATCAATTATTAAATACACTTTGACATGTATTTATAGGTGAAGATATCCAGCAGCAGGACATAAAGTTATTCAAATTAGCTTTACATTTACTTACTGTGATAAAACACATCAATAATCATTATAGTAAAACTCAATATATACGATTCTGAAAAGGGCAAATGTATATAAGGAGTACTTTTATTTTTGGTCCTTTAAGTATATTTTTATATCGATGCTTTTGTACTTTTACTTGTAAAACAGTCGTTTTACACTGTAGTGTTTCTACTTTTGTTTTAGTAGAATATCTGAGTACTTCTTACACCACTGCTACCATGAGTGTGGAGCTGTGTGCTACAAAAGCCTGAATTTACAATAAATATTTTACATCTGAAGATTATTTTCAAATGTAGAACAGGTTGTAAGCGAGGCTCCGTTTGAAAATGAGGAAACAGTTCAGAGTGTCAGCGCTGCTCCTCGTCCTGGAATTTATCAGAGTTTGATAAACCCTCCCTCTTCTTCCTGCTCTCAGACACAGCCAGCTCCACTCTGTATTTCCTGGTTCCTCCCCTTTAGATCTACACTGAGGAGGATGGGTGTAATAACATGTGGGTAAAGTCCAAGAGCTGATAGGCCACATTCACCGTTCAGATTACAGCTCACACTAGTTTCAGCTCTCAGGAAGTGAAACTCAGACACTCGCTGCCACTGAGAGTTGAAATGGCGCAGAAAGGAGTTCAGCTGGACCGGGAAATCTTATCTTGTTCCATCTGTCTGGATCTACTGAAGGATCCGGTGAGCACTTCCTGTGGACACAGCTACTGCATGAAGTGTATTAAAGGCTTCTGGGACGGACAGGATGAGAAGCAGATCCACAGCTGCCCTCAGTGTAGGCAGAGCTTCACACCGAGGCCTGTCCTGCTGAAAAACACCATGTTAGCAGCTTTAGTGGAGGAGCTGAAGAAGACTAGACTCCAAGCTGCTCCTCCAAGCTGCTCCTGCTGATCTCTGCTATGCTGGAGCTGAAGATGTGGCCTGCGATGTCTGCACTGGGAGAAAACTGAGAGCAGGTAAGTCCTGTCTTATGTGTCTTATATCTTACTGCGAGAAACACCTCCAGCTGCATTAGGAATCACCTGCCTTTGAAAAACACAAGCTGGTGGAGCCCTCCAAGAAGCTCCAGGAGAACATCTGCTCTCGTCAGGACGAGGTGATGAAGATGTTCTGCCGCACTGATCAGCAGTGTATCTGTTATCTCTGCTCTGTGGACGAACACAAAGGCCACGACACAGTGTCAGCTGCAGCAGAGAGGACTGAGAGGCAGAGAGAGCTGGAGGGGAGTCGACAGAACATCCAGCAGAGAATCCAGGACGGAGAGAAGGAGGTGAAGCTGCTTCAGCAGGAGGTGGAGGCCGTCAATGGCTCTGCTGATAAAGCACTGGAGGACAGTGAGAAGATGTTCACTGAGCTGATCCGTCTCATGGAGAAGAGAAGCTCTGATGTAAAGCAGCAGCTCAGATCCCAGCAGAAGAGAGAAGTGAGTCGAGTCAGAGAGCTCCAGGAGAAGCTGGAGCAGGAGATCTCTGAGCTGAAGAGGAGAGACGCTGAGCTGAAGCTGCTGTCTCACACAAAGGATCACAACCAGTTTCTGCACAGCTACCCCTCACTGCCAGCCCTCAGTGAAGCTACACACTCCTCCAGCATCAACATCCGTCCTCTGCGCTACTTTGAGGACGTGACGGCGGCCCTGTCAGCAGTCAGAGACAAACTACAGGACGTCCTGAGAGAGGAATGGACAAACGTCTCACCGACTGAAGTGGATGTTTTACTGTCAGCAGCAGAGCCCACCACCAGAGCTGGGTTCTTAANAGTCGTCGTAGGTTGGTACGTGGGTTGGGGGGGGGCCCATGAGTGCTCAGTGCCCAGGGTCCCCTGGAGGTACTAATCCGGCCTTGACCAGAGGGGTCCAGGTTAGGGGTTTTCGTGTGGTCTATAACAAAAACAGCATCTAAATATTCAAGATTCAAGATTTAAAGGCTTTATTGTCTTGTGCGCACTGCACAGTAGATACAGTGTAGAAATGGCAATGAAAATCCTAAGTACCGAGCTCCTCCAACAATTCAGCATTTTATATAAAGGACATAAACAATAACATTCAATTAAAATTGTGCAAAGTGAAACGGAGTGGAATACAAATAGTGCAGATAATGTGCAAGTAATGCAGATGAAGTAAACTATACTGTGCATGTCAGAAAGGAACATAAAATACAATAAGCTAAATAATGCAAAGAATGTTGTAAGCGACCAAGTGAATGCAGGAGTCATGTAAATATATTTAGGTATACAAGAACAGAATTTAAATTCAAATATTGTACAGTGAAATAAAATACTAATACCAGCCTTAATGAACACAACACATTTAGTAAAGTCAGTAAATGCCCCATTCCGTTGTAAGTAAGTGGTTCGTGTCACTACATGTTTATCATAGAGGAACACGACTCACACCACTTGGATGTGGTTTAGACTCGAAACGCTTTGTCTGTTGAGCCCGAGCCTCGTCTCTTTTCATGTTCCCTACTGACTGTGCAGAATCTTTACGGTGCAGTGCCCCATTCTACCAGTGGGGGGCACTGCTACCACAATCAACAGCCTTTCTAACAGTTCTTCCAAGCATTACATTCAGTTTCAGGAAAAGTCTCTTTCTTGGTCAACCTGCAAAAACCCCAGAAAGGCCTTTCATGAAATTCTTAACATGAATACATTAATACTTGATTCATGATCTCTTTGGCATGGTTTTGTATCCTCTTTGAAAGACATGATCACTCGATCAGAATCAGAATTCCTTTATTAGTCCCATGGCGGAGACATTTACAAATGTTTTTATGGTTTATTTTTCTGCAGGTCAGTCAAGATGGGGGCTTTTGCTAGCCTGATGAAAGGTATGTTCGGTAGTAAAGAGATGAGGATCCTGATGGTAGGACTGGACGCTGCTGGAAAGACAACCGTCCTGTATAAGCTCAAACTGGGAGAAGTTGTTACAACAATCCCTACTATTGGTGAGTCCTCTGCTGCATCTTCACACGTTTCCAACTGCATGGTCTTCTTACCAATGCCAAGATTTAAAAAATCCCTTTTTGTTTTACCCTTCATCCCCAGGTTTTAATGTTGAAACGGTAGAATACAAGAACATCAATTTCACAGTGTGGGATGTCGGTGGTCAGGACAAGATCAGGCCGCTCTGGAGACATTACTTCCAAAACACACAAGGTCAGAAACTCCCTAATTTGACCAGATCTCTCAGTCTGTTGCTCGTATCCTCCATTGCTTGTGAAACCACTCTCCCTTACAAACCTCACGTCTTTTCCCTTTTTAGCCGTCGTCTTTGTAGTGGACAGTAATGACAGGGAGCGAATTGGTGAGGCGAAGGAGGAGCTGATGCGGATGCTGGCTGAAGATGAACTGGCAGATGCAAAGCTGCTTGTTTTTGCCAACAAACAGGTAAATATGCGTTATTGTATGATCATTAGTGGAAGAACACCAGGAAATGATGTTTGCCCTTTTCTCTAGTTGCTATTTAAGTCTTGTGTTTACTGCTCTTTCAGGACCTTCCCAATGCCATGAATGCAGCTGAGATAACAGACAAGCTGGCCCTTCACACCCTGTGCAATCGCAACTGGTATATCCAGGCAACATGCGCCACTACTGGAGACGGTATCTACGAGGGTCTCAACTGGCTTGCAATGACGATAAAGAAAAAGAAATGAATCATCACTCCATCTCCTCTCTGCAGTTTAACAGGAGACTGCTCTCTTGTTCTCTTTTTCTTTCTTTTCACTAATGCGCTGTATCTTTTGACCATCGCTCCCCCGCATTGTCTCTCTTTAGAGGGGCGAATGTGAGTCAGAGCAGCCATGTTGTGTATTGAACTGTTAACTTTAACCCCGTACTCCGATGTTCCAACGTCCCACAGCACAAAACAAAAATCTAAGAACGACAGATATGTGTACCTGTTTGTTGAATCATTTGTTCAGTTTTTAAATCAAGTTCAGATCCATGTCTAAAATGAATTGGGTCTGAAAGTCTATAACTGTTACAGGGTATGTTTGCACATATGAATGTGTATTGAGTGAAGCTGTGTTGTTCAGTTCCATTGACTGACTGGTGAGCCCTTGAACAATTATTAAAATAGAAAATTGGACTAGTGCAATATCAAAATCGCCGGAGCTGCAATAATTGTTCAAAACTAAATATGTATACAATTCTGAAGTAAGTATTGTATTGTTATAGAGGTCCCTTTCTACAAATCATACCCTAAGGACTTTGTTTGGTACAGATCCTTGCAAAGGAATCACACCATGATCATTTTAATATATTTTCATTAGATTAGATTATTTTATCTAATCAATGTAATTAAGCAAAACAATGCCAAAGTCATAATTTCCTTTTCTATTGTGAACGACATCACAACTGCAATATCAATCATATAGGATATTTTTCCACTTCACTCTGTTTTTTATTTTATTTTTGTATTTATTTCTTATTTTCAGTTTTTTACAGTTCTTTTGGTCTGTTTTCAATGTTTGTATTCCTCTTTTGTTACTGTTGTTCCACGTACAACCTGTTTTACTTGGCAGCTAGTTACAGGTCTGCAGTCTTTTGATGAAAATACTTTTGGGACCAATTGATCAAATTAGTGTTCTCTTGGGAAGTTTGAGTAATGGATCGACTGTCTTGGGGTTTTCTTTGTCTTTACTCCAGGTATTTCTTCAACACAAGTAGAGTACATATGGTGTACAACAAGAAATAGAAATGTGTATAATGTAATAAAATGTATTTTAACTTGACGTCCTTGTTCAGATGTTGGTCAGCTTTAATTTAGATGAATTTTCTGTGCAGATGACAAGGTTGTACAAAGGTTTGTCTTTCTACCTTCAACAATTGCTTTAAGCTCATCTTTTGACATTTGATAAATGCACTATAGTAAAGAGATTTACTGGCCTTTTCATTGTAATACCGTAAATATACTTTTTCAATATTAATTAAAGTACTAAAAAAAACGAATGCCCCACAGATAATCATTTTAAAATTGCCTTGCAGTAGCCAACAATTTGTCTCTTTAGATTCATATTCAGTACAAACAGAAACATGTTTTTGGATCAAACACCCAGGCAGCAGTGCACAATTCAAGTATACCAAATTAAATGGTTTAATAAACAAAAAAGACCACAATAAGCAAATAGTTGACTTGGTTAAAAGTCAAAAGTTGTTTTATGAATTTGTCTTTTTCATTACTTTATGATTGCGATCTTATTCCTAAAAACATGTTTACAATTGATTTTTTAATGGCTAATGATATTTTTTTCTGATTTATGGACTGATAAAAAGCACAACATAAAATGTACTCTAACATGTCGACAAAATGAAACTTGCTTCAGATTCTAAAGTTCAGATTTATAATCTGTAAATGAATGCAAATTATTAAATATTTAACAAGACAATGTATTATTTGCATATTTTAACACAACACTTGCAAAAACGGTTGTATGCAAGGCAATTTTATTTATAAAGCACCTTTCAACATACAGCAGTTCATAGTGCTTTACAAAAAGGAAAGACAAGAGCATTAAGAAGTTCTGCAGCAGAAACACATAAAAATGGCATTTAAAAACAGTCATTCGAAAGCATAGACAATAAAAATAAACATGCTAATATATGAAATACATGAATAAAAGTTACAGTGCAGTTTAAGATATGAATAGTTCAATTAAAAGCAGCGGCAAAAAGAAAAGTCTTCAGCTAGGATTTAAAAGTAGTAAGAGTTGCAGCGGACCTGCAGGTTTCTGGGAGTTTGTTCCAGATATTTGGAGCATAATAACTGAACGCTGCTTCACCATGTTTAGTTCTGACTCTGGGGACAGAAAGCTGACCCGTCCCAGAAGACCTGAGAGTTCTGGATGGTTCATCATTTGTAGATCAGAAATTTATTTTGGCCCTAAACCATTCCATGCTTTATAAACCAGCAGCAGTATTTTGAAATCAATTATTTGACATACAGGTAGCCATGTCTGTCATGTGTTGCCAGGGCTTGGTGCGGGTGAGAAGCCTGGTGGCAGAGTTCTGGACGTATTGGAGCCTCTCCAGGGCTTTGCTTGGAACCCCGGACAGGACTCCATTGCAGTAGTCCAGGCGGGAGGTGATGAAAGCGTGTATGAGAGTCAGAAAGTGAAGGCCTGAGTCTGGAAATGTTCAGAGTTCTCACAATTTCCCACATCCACCACAACCTCTGCTGTTTTAAATGAGGGACTGCATTTGACAATATCTCGAGCTTTCTGCGTTCATGACAACTTCACTTGTGGTCTTTTTAGCTCTTTAATGAATTAGAAAGACCCCTGCAATTGTATGTTTTGCAGACCTGAGGTGGTACAAATCTGTTGAAAGTGAATTCTACTGTCCTCATCCACAAGGCTCGGGACCCCATCCACAAGGCCCGGGACCCCAACTGACACTTTACCTCAGCCACATCATAGACTCTATGTATTACATTAATGCACACAATGTACACAATATCTGTTTTTTTTTTGTATTACTGCACATATTTTATTCCATTCTATTTCAATGTAAATACTGCTATATTTTAATATATTTTATATTATTTTTTTTTGTTAATACAGTTTCCTTATAATAGTTCTCTGTCTGTGTTTTTAATTTTTGTTTTACTTTTATGTATGCACCATGACACCAAGTCAAATTCCTCGTACGTGTCAACCTACCTGGTAATAAACCTGTTTCTGATTTACAAGGCAGTAAAAAAAAAACACACACACACACACACACACACACACACACACACACACACACACACACACACACCTCGCTTTATACTCTTACATTAGACTCAAAACAAACCCGCAGAAGAACAGAAGCACTACGTTCCCTGTGTGACTTTAACGTTTACAACATGATGCAGGAGTTCCTTCCTGTTCCGGTCACCCTGGCCTGACATCAAACTGCTGCTGGTGTAGATGGATGTATAATAAGAACTCTGCTGGTGTAGCTCCAGGCTCCATTATTTATTTCCTGCTACATCTTAGCAAGAGATGCCTTTTTCATTTTCCACAAGTTCACCTTTTCCAGCTCTGGTTTCAATGTCATCCCGGTTTTACAGTCTAACAGTGTTGCAGCAGTTTTCATCACTCTTTGAAAAAGAATAACATTTATTTGACCTTTTATTACTTTAAAATCGATGTTTCAGATATACAAACTACGATGGCCGGCAGGTGCAATCGCGCCACAACACGTTTTTCTGAGAAAATGAGAAGATCTGAATTTCTTAAATTTTTCTTTGTCCTACAAATAAATTAAATATATATATGCAACATTTCAAATATCTTGTTTCAGAGATATTTTTATAATAAAAAAACTAAAGGCTGAAAATGTCACCTTTGTCCTCTTAGCTTTTTTATTAACAAGAAAAACCCCAATTTTTTTTACAGATATGATAATGTGGCACTCATCTCACATCTTGAAAATAGAAACACAATTTATTACAAACTCAACCTGTTAGCTTTTCTTTTCATGACTTTTCTTTTAATTTGTGTTATTTCATTCTTCCAACTTTCATTTATACATTCAACACATTGAGACTTAGTCAAAAATAAAAGACATTTAGAATAAAATATCTACAATGAAATAAGCTCAGGTGCTTTCTCTCTTAAGACTCATGCTTTACAAGAGAAACAACAACATACAAATACATCAATGTCTATATTCAACACATTTTTTAAGTAAAATTTACATTTTCATTCAGAGAAATATCAGTTGAGGTTAACAGAAATCTTCCTGAGCAGTGACAGCCTCCATGGCTAAACACTAACAGACACAGGAAGGAGCACCGCCTAAAGAAACTCCAATATTTACAGAGCGACTCATGAGAAGATGTCAAAGCACATCCCATAATGTTCGATTGATAGCTGATCTCTGTGCAGTGAAGACATGAACAATCAGCTCTCAGCAACAATGATGGACACACAATGAGTTTAAAAAGTAGAAGAGTTCCTCAAAGGACTTCAGGCTATTTAAGTTTACACAACTCAGCACTGTCTCCAAAATCGTGATGAAGCCAAACTCCAGCATGTAGCGGCTGAGTGAATGTGGTCTGGACTCTGTGGAGGAGAGTCATGGTTTCAGAGACGCTGTAGAAGGACAGAATACCTGCTCTGTGATCCAGGTACACTCCTACTCTGGAGGACCGAGGACCTGAGACGGGAGTGCGGATACTGTTGTAACGAAATGTATAACTGTTTTGATCACAATCTAAGAACCAAGATTTGTCATTGTATCCAAATGCACATTCATTCCCCCCCCCTGCTCTGCTGATATTCTTGTNTGCGCTCAACTTTATTACTACGCGGCGGAGGTGTATAGCCGAATCACAGCCCCACCCTTGAGCAACCACACAATTTCACTACATATTTTATTTTTGTAACTCTCTGTGTTTGTGACAAATAGAACTCCTCGTGTACATGTACAGCCAGCCAGTCATATTTTGGCATTAAGTGGGGTGCTGTTCTGAGGTTTTGATTGATATTACCTAGGTCTTCTTGAGCCATACACTGTCTTGAGATCTTATCCATTGTATCTTTGTCTTGTGATTTTTGACTGAAAGGGCAAAAGGCTAGACCTACTTTGGTTGAATTATGTGGCTCCGTCCCTGCTTTTGACAAATAGGTGTGCGATTTGACATGCCAGAGTTACAAAAATAAAATATGTAGTGAAATTGTGTGGTTGCTCAAGGGTGGGGCTGTGATTCGGCTATACACCTCCGCCGCGTAGTAATAAAGTTGAGCGCATACATAGTCAGACCTACAGTACAGAGACCTACAGTACAGAGACCTACAGTACAGAGACCTACAGTAATTTGACCCTATGGAAAAGCTGTGTTATTTATGGCGAAGAGTGAGTGTCATTTAAAACAATGTATGATGAGAGAGGTTGTGCGCGGGGGGAAAAAAAATTAAAAGATCTTTTTTTTTTTTTTATCTTGTCACTGAGGGCCCTCTTTGCTCAAGGGCCCCTGGGCACTTTCCCAGGTTGCCCATATGGTTAATCAGGCCTTGCCTCTGGTTGTAATCAGAGGTGGAAGAAGTACTCAGATATTCTACTTAAGTAAGAGCAGAAATACAAGAGTGTAGGAATACTCTGTAGTAAAAGTCCTGCATTGAAAAGTATTGGCATCAAAACATACTTTAAGTACCGCGAGTAAAAGTACTCATTATGCAGATTGGTCCATTTCAGAATAATGTACATTATATGTTTTATAATGATTGATCATTAAAGTGTTGTCAAAGCTGGTAAAGGTGCAGCTAGTTTGAATGACTTTGTATCCTGCACGGTAGCTTGTGAATTTACTCCAGGTGGAACTAAAGTCTGATTTAAGTGTTGATTATATTTCACGTCATTAATCCAAATCTGTACTAGAGTAACTTAAGGAATTCAATAAATGTAGTGGAGTAAAAGTACAGCATTTACCTCTGAATTGTAGTGGAGTAGAAGTATAAAGTAGCAAAACATTTACATATTCAAGTAAAGTACAAGTAACTCAAAATTGTACTCAAGCACAGTACTTGAGTAAATGTACATAGTTACTGTACAACAATGGTCGTAATAAGGAGCTTTTGTGTTTGAATAAAAGGGAGGAAGAGAGAATGAACCATACCCAAGCATTGTGTGTGTCCTGTGATGGACTACCTATGTATGCAAACAGCAGTTCAAACAATATCTTAGGTCAAATGTAAGAAACAGCCATCGTAGCGCCATGAAGACAGGATGAATAACTAATGTGGACCAGTTCATCCAGAATTGAGTTGAACCTGTATCACTGGATCGGTCTGAAATCTGTTCTACCTGTCCTGAACAGTGAGGTTAAGATTCATCATTCATTAACAAGAACGAGCCCAGGAAGCAAATCTTGCTCTGTTCAAATGCAGAAATCTGTAATGTTAGCTTCCTATCATGTCTCCCATCTACCTTAAGGCCTATTTGACTTAAGAATGGTAAAGCATGAGAAAAAAACATGTCCCATGGGTGAAAATACTCAGTTGGGCAAGGTAAAGTGTTGTGAGTTAAGGTAAACTGATAACGAAAAGTAATGTTAACTTTGCCTGTAGCTGTGTAAATACCTGCTTTTATTTCCTTAATGACTCATTATAGTCATGAATTAAAGAAGGCGTTAACTGGGCTCGTGGAAGTTTTAGGAAGCATAGGTAAACGTTAGCATAGGGAGGAATATCCGTCACAAAAAACGACACGGATGTATACATTCTGATTAATATGTATGAGGAATTTATATTAAAGTTCAAATATTTGAAAATGTCCTGAGGAAACACAGTCGCAATGAAGTTAAACTGCCAGGGAAAAGCTCACTACGTTTAGCGCTAGGTTTTTACGTTCCAGCAAACTGTCGACGTAAACCGTTTTTATATCTCCAAACTTAACGTTATTAAAATGAAAATGAATATCCACGAAACAGTAATGATTAATTACACATAAAAGTAATCTACCTTTACTTGCACGTCTCAGTCCTTCTTCCTGGTCTTGTTCAACACAAATGTGTCTTTTTCCGGTGTCGTCTTCTTCTTGTTTCTGTCCCCGCCCTCTTAATGAGAAATTACAACATCTTGATAGTGCAGGTGAGAAAAACGAACATCCCTTTCGATGAGCCTAGTTATTCTCAAACATTGAAAATCAAGTCATCTACTGGACTTCTCAGCAAAAGTAGGTTACGTTAAATAAACTAAAAATATCACTCCTGAAATGAAAAAATATGATTCCATTAAGATTGTAATTTGAAGAAATTGAGGGAGAAAAAGAGAGAGAGACATTACAAAAAGTGTAAGAATATTGGGCATGCTTCTATTCAATTTGTCACTGTCACACTAAGTTTGAATCATTTTCATTATTCAAAGGACATAATAAGTTCTTCAATTATAAAACAACTGTGTTTGTAGAATTGAAGCCAATCATTCATTATAGAGAGTAAAGAGACTGTGATGTGACGTGTACCTGGGGTTGTTCAGAGGCCTGAGGCCAGTTCAACCAGTGTGACCGGTACTGCATTATGTCAGCTCAGCGTCACTCAGGCTGTAATAGGAGAGACACCCCAGGTAAAAATGTTAACAGAGTTTTCAGAAAAGCTTTGTTTAGATTACGCAAATTATGCAGTATCATATTAAATATTTGCTTATTTGCATACATTTTCATATCATAAATCTGAACACTGGATAAAGCCAGGTTGAAATGTCTCCTCAACCAAAAATATGTGTGACCATATAATATATACTGTTTAGATATCACATATCTTCTTTTGGTGAAAATAAAATAAAAGTTTCAAGCAATTTTCAATGCCCAATATTAAAAACTAGTATATTTTGCTACATTTCCTCAGGTTTGGTTTAACATTAACTACATAAAATCCACTTACGTTCAGAGATGAATTTACATACTGAATCCACTAGATGGTGCTCTATCCATGTTTTCTTTTTTTATCTGAAGGACCAATGAAGTTACATGACTGTGTAGTTTTCACTTGAAGAACAAGCTGTCGGCCCTTTAATAATATATTTGTATGTTGTTGTCCTTCTCAGGTTGCATGGGTCTTTTAGTAACTTATCTTTTGGGTGAATGCTGTGTTTTGAGTTGTTTGTAAGATTTTTGAATTTTGTTGCTTTATTGCAATGATTATATTTTGATCACTTGTAAAGTGTGGGAAATCTCTTTTTGGTTTCTCCATGTTCAAGGACACTGCAGATATGCTGCCATTATGGGTCAGTAAAGCTGACAAATAAAAACCTCTGACTTCAAACAAAGTGTTTTAACTACAGAGTTTCCCTGGGAGGGGGAATAGGAATTTAGCCCAAACAATGTCTTGATCTGAGGTTTTGGTTCCAGTGCTTAACCAGGAGGACCGGATAGAACATGATGGATAGGTACCCAGGTGTATTGGAGCTCTCTACATCACATCAGGTAAACACACTTTGCAGCTCCGTCCACCTGGGTGGCGTAACAGTGGGAGGGAACATACAGTAACAATATTGAGAGAATCCAATGAGGGTGCAGCAGGACGATGCCCCCCCCTCCCCTATTCCCCAAAGGGCCCTGCCTCCCAGCGGACCACTGGGACCGGTGCAGCGGATTGAACGTCTGAGTGCATGTGGGGCCGCTTAAAGAGGTGCGCCGACCAGACGGCACAGACTTTCTCCGTTGAAGAATCAGCGAGATGAAGAGCAGCAACAACCCGGCACCATGCGCTCCAGGCTCCCACGGACCGCCTGCCTATTGCGACTCGTTGCACTCTGCATCCTCCTCTCGAACACTGCAGCTTATTTTGGGTCAGCTGATGTGTTTTTTTTTACTTCTGCCAAACACATTAATTGATTGCCATGTTGTTTTAACACTTAGAGATAACAAAACGGCAACCAGTAACCTTAAGCTAAATTACGCACGCGTAATTGCGCAGAAGCCAGTAAGGTGAATTGTTATTATGTTGTTTGAAACCACTGTAGTCTTTCTAATTGTCATGCTAATGTTTGTGGGTTATCATCACTAGTGTTATTTAAGATGTATATCAACAACATTTGTGTTTTGGCTGTTTTCACGCGTTTTTCTCTGAGTTTGTTAAACTACCGTTGACGTTTTAACTTTATACGGACTTATCCTATATTGTTGACAGTATTTTTACGAGTCCAAAAACTGATATCTATTTGTGTTTTTTATAACATATATATATTTGTTTTGTTTTGTTTTTATTTATGGGAAGAGGAAATCATATTTTCAGGTGGCAAGCAAGTAGAGGAGTAGACAGCGTAAAACGAAGTTACAAATTCATCACAATCACATCTTTTCTTTAGGTATAAAGTAACTGCAGTGATGGAATTATTAATGGGAACAATATCACCTTGATCGTGTTGACATACTTCATATCAAATGTTACATGAATGCAACTCACCTCATTTGTTTTTCTTTGCATCCCCAGGCTGACAGGAAGGGAACCCTTGGTGTTTTTACCTGGTCCGTTTTCCAATGAACCTCCGACGGGCAAGGCCCACCTGAAGCAGTGCGAGCAGATGACTCTGACCCGGCGGCAGAAGAGGCTGTGTCGCAGGGAGCCGGGTCTGGCAGAGACGCTGCGGGAGTCGGTGCGCCTCAGCCTCCTGGAGTGTCGCTATCAGTTCAGGAACGAGCGATGGAACTGCAGCCTGGACGGCCGGGGAAGCCTCCTGAAAAGAGGTAAGACTTAAACACCAAGTATTTTTACAGTAGAAAGCATTAACCCATCATCCAAAGCGGGTAGTGCTGGGTTCGAACTCGTGACCATTCACTTGCGGATTCATGTCTTTAATCTTTATTTTTTCTTGAGTGACACAGCTGCCAGATTTTTTTTTTAAATCTCCAACCCTGACATGACATGCAGTATGCTTTACATCTTTTCAGCTGAGTGTCTCTGAACAGGAGAGCAATATTGGTTGCTGTACCTTGAGGCAATGCAAATGATCTAAAAAACAAAGTGAGACAGGCCTGCAGTGATTGAAGAAATATGATAAGCAGTTGTTTGTCTTCAGTTGAGATATTATGAAACTTTGGAGGCACGCCAGGAGAGAGTTATCAAACATTATTGTTGTTTAACTTTCATAAAACGTTTGTACTGATGTGACAAAAGTCACATGACAACACAGGGATAAGGTTTAAAAAATATATTTATTTTTTTTTAAAGTAAAAATAGAAGTGTGTATTGTCACAGAAAATAATATAAAATTAACACCAGTTATTGTATTATGTCTATCTTTTAAAACACAACTTTTTTAGAATATTAATTAAAATGGTTGTGTTGTTAATGCCTTACTTATCGCCTTTGTTTCCTCCCTGTCGCTGATTTTAAAACACAACAATACGTTTTAACTAATTTTGAGATATAAGTTTCCTTATTAATTTGACAGGTGACAGTCTAAATCCTTTTTAACACTTTATTTTGTGTTCATTAAGATGTTCTCCACACGCTTTTGCCTTCATACCTCCCCTAAAAAAAGTTTTCCAAAGGTTGTACTTAAATACTTTTTTCTATGACATGCTACAACCATTGATTAGCTACACTTGGGAGAAAAGATCAACATATTGGATATATCTCAAGTCCCCTGTAGGTCTGCTGTGCACAGAAAATGCTTTATGCATACGGATATCAGTGTGTGGGAGAACATGAACAGGTCAGCATGGAGATAATGAGGGAGTAGAAACCCATGAAATGTGGTGCGGTGGACAAGCGCTCAAGCCCGGTGGTTATTTTTATCCCGGGAAAGCGCCCATTCCCAGAGGAAAAGGGTGGCATGATTAAACCACTTTCATCTGGGAAAATCCTTCCTAGTCAAAATAATAATTAATTGGATCAAAATATACCCCAGTGACGGCTCTTGGTGAGGCAAATAACAGTGCGTAACCAAAAGGAAAGGTCAGAAGAGGAATTATGACACCAGAAAAACTTGCAGAATAATGCTGAGGTTGTAGCAAACCATGACAACGTAATGAGCTCTCTGTAAACATTTTGATGATTGTAAGCCATGAATGAATCCCTTAAGCTATAGACAGTTTGCCCTCAGGAGGCTTGGCACAACTTGCATTTAAAGCTCTGCAAATGTAGCCCTTTAAATGTCCTATAGTTTTACACAACATGTTCTAATCTCTCCTATATCTGTCCCAGCATTCAAGGAGACTGCCTTCCTTCTGGCAGTGTCCTCTGCGGCGCTGACTCATGCACTCGCCAAAGCGTGCAGCTCAGGTCGAATGGAGAGGTGCACATGTGACGACTCCCCCGGCATCCAGCATCGAGAAGCGTGGCAGTGGGGGGTCTGCGGGGACAACCTGAAATATAGCACCAAATTTCTAAAGAAGTTCCTCGGCCAAAAGAAGGTCAGCAAGGACCTGAGGGCTCAAATCGACGCCCACAACATCAACGTTGGAATTCGGGTGAGTGTGAACAAATAAACCCAAAAAAGATTAGAAAACATTGAATGTGATTCAGCAAAAGAGCCGCCCGGTCCCATTATGGGGACGTTTCCTCCAGGGGAATCGCAAACATCACCTATACCTGAGAGCAATTAGTTGGGCTGCAATTTTACTTCACAATTATACCTCGTGCGCCATCAGAGGATACAGGATTGCGATCCTCACCTGCATATTTTCCCAGTGCCAGCCAGACAAACACCCCCTTATTTTCTGCTGTCGTTGGCCTTGGTTGGTGGATAACAGAGAGGCAGAGGCGCTGCAACAGGGAGACAACATGGCTGTGGAATCGTTGGAGCCAGGTGTTCTCAGACATGATAAAGCTTGCTGTGCGGGCCTACAGAAAATTAAAGGTCTCATGTCGGAGAGAACGATTATAACCGTGGCCTCTTTTTAATATACGAGCGAGCATTTTTTTCCACTTACTGGATCACTGTGCTCTTCATAAATCCACCTAATGTTCATAACCACCACTGTGTAGCTCTGAAATAGCAGGCCCCGGGGTCCTGAAGCTCTCACCTAGGTAGAGCCAGTGGAGACAAAAAGAAAAAAAGAAAACAGGAAGGGGGAACTATCTTATCTCATCTTTACTGAGTTAAATGTTTTCCTCACTTTACACCAATGTGGCCAAGAAGAGCTGTGTGAACAACAACATGAGGTGGTTGGCGCCCCCCTCACCTCTCAGTAATGGTGCTCTGAAGCCCCTGAGGGGTTCATACCTGCAAAGGGAGGAACTGAGCAGCACTTTTCAACCAGAAGCCCCCTCTGGCTCCCTCTGTGTGACCTGTCTCTGGCCTCCGTCAAGACAGCGGCTCTCAGACTGAGTGATCGCGCTCTCATCGCTGACCATCAAGCTCATTGAACTATTAACCCAAACATCGTCGCACAACCGCCGCTGCATTGTTTTTGGCACTTCTTGCACAGAAATTCTTATCAATGTTTTCCATGAGCAGGCATGTACAAAGAACAGGGTGGAGAGATTCCACTGTCTGCACCGTTTGTCACCTATGCCTCGGGCTTCAGGAAAGAGAGACAGGAGAGAAGCAGACAGAGCTAGTTTCAACACATTGAGAAACAAAAAATTGCAAGAGCTGTCCAAGTGAAAAATGCGAGGTGAATGAAATACGACATTCTGAACAGTCCTCCTCAATCCATTATGTCAACATTTTTGACTGAGGTGGGCTAAAGGCGCAGAATCCGCAGACCACCACCCCTAACCCCCCTACCCACCCTTCAGGAAACTGTCTCCCTCAGTCCAGATAGACCCAGATAAGAGGCCAGGTAATGAATCAAGCTGAACCAACTGACATCTCTGCATTTCCGCCCCCCCTCTCCCTTGCTTTTTCTCTCTCCCATCTCAGGCAGTGAAGAGCGGGCTGAAAACAACCTGCAAGTGTCACGGTGTCTCCGGCTCCTGTGCCGTACGGACTTGCTGGAAGCAGCTGTCTCCTTTCCACGACACTGGACGGCTGCTGAAGTACAGGTACGACACGGCAGTGCGAGTGCTGAGTGTCACCAACGAAGCCACCGGGGAGACGGAGCTGGCGGGGCCCCGGCGCCACGGCCAGAGCCTCCGCACCACTGACCTGGTCTTCCTGGAGGACTCCCCTAGCTTCTGCAGGCCCTCGCGGTACTCCCCGGGTACGGGGGGCCGGTCCTGCGCCAAAGACACCAGCTGTCAGAGCCTGTGCTGCGGACGGGGGTACAACACAGCCATGCGCCTCACCAGCCTCTCCTGCCACTGCCAGGTCCGCTGGTGCTGCCACGTGGAGTGTCAGACGTGTGTGAGGGAGGAGGAGGTGTACACCTGCAAGAACTCATAGAAGAAAGTAGAATGATCCTTTGGGAACAGAAACGTGAGAGAGACATTTTGACGTGGATGAACTATAAGCTCCAATCTCACACAGAGTATGTCTATGCAAATCTCCATTCAGACCTGCATGTTATTTGGAGAGGAATATACACTTGTAATATTATAATATTGCTGTTTTTTTTGCTAATCGTCACCGAATTGATACGCAGCAGCTTTCCTGTAAGTTAGGAAGTTTTTAAACTCTGCTTTGGATGCACTGAAATCCCATTTCTTATGGGACTGAGCTCTTAAAACAGGTACTTGGACTGGATGTCACCAGCAGTACGTCGTCTCTAACAGTGATTTTGCGTATTGTTATTGCATCGGCCCCTTCCACTTGACTATTTATTGTATCAGTCACTGTTGTACTGCTGCTTTATACCTTAACCTTCTTATAATTGCCACTAAGGCTAACATGGCCTTAAAGGGAATCCACCTGTCTGTCTTTCTGCCTGCTGTGGAGACATTTTAGGAGTTCATTTTTGATTTAAAAAAAGCACTTAGATTGCTCTTGTTATGTATGATACAAAGATAATAAATCATGGTATAACTATTTAAAGTATATGTTTAAACCGAATCACTGGAAACTTTGAGGGGTGCCACTGGAATACATTGTAACATGCATAAACAGGGTTATTGTGTAAAGAAACAAGCTGGGTTTTCAGTTGCTCTTATGGAAATGTCTATGGAAATCTCTACATGTAGCCTAATGTGTGCTCAACAGAACAAAAGGAAATATCTGGGGTAATAGTCAGGGAAACACCAAACACTGTCTTTGAAAAACAAAAAAGAATGTTTCATTTCTGAACATACCAACCCTCCTCTCTATTTATAGAAGCATGCTATGCTTTCAAGTTTAAAATTGAACTATTTAGTCTTCAAAGTCTAATTTAGCCACATCTTTGTTCTAAATGCCTTTGAAGTGGGCTAATTGTTTTCCTTATTTTCCTTAAATGCTAATTAAAGTAAATCCCAGTGTTTACTCACTTATCCCTACATCCACGACAACTCTTACAAGTCCATGTGAGCAGGTCAAAAGTGCACCCAAGAGGTTTATTTTATTGGCCAGTTTATGTTTTGTTTGAGTGATTCTGAACTTTATATATTATATGAATATAACTCATGTCAGGGCTCCAGGCTTATGACAACATGGAATCGTAATTTTTTCTACCTCACTTCATCTTTTGGCAAATATCATTAAGATTTATGAGCTATGCAGAGTTATGTCCTGTCCTTTTGCATTTGTTTAAAGATCATAATTTAGATTTTCTTGTACAGTTCTTTTGAATTTTGCTTCAACACATCTCCAAATGTTGTTTTTTAATCTTGTTGCATTACGTTCTTATTTAAAATAAATACATACATTTGTAAGAGCGTTGTGTGTGTGTTGTGTCTTGTTCAGTTGCTGTAGGCGGTCCCCTTCACAAACATGCACACACTCCACACGCGAGTGCAATACACCTGCCTGAAACTCTGCACCCTGCACCTATGGAGCAAAACCACTTCCTGCTGATACTGCCCTGCCCTCCTTTTCACCTGAAAGGCCTGTGGTCTCGATGCATCACCCTCTAACCGCCCGGTAAAAAGCACGGGGTGGGTGGGTGTTTGGCACGCATACAGGTGTTGTGCCTCTAGCCAGCACACCAACCACGATGAAAATCATAATGACGATGATGAAAAAGACGATGACTTAGGAAAATGCTGTCTAACCGAGCGCTTGACCCCCGTTTCACCATTGGAAAGTTACTTTGGGCTGCACCAGATTGACGATGAGAGCCGTTTACATGCTATTATCCCTGAATCATAACTTTTCCACTCATTTGTAGAGCATCAGTAAAGCTGCAGAACACAGAGGGCTATTGTATGAAGTATTTATAGTGTGTGCTCTGGTGCTTTTGATGTTGCTCTCTAATTACTATGATTACACATTATTATTCCTTATTAGAACATCAACATGAGCCCCCAAGTATTGCAGTGAATTATAGGGCCATTTAAATTGACTCTCAAAGGTTTAATAACATTAAAAACCTTACAATGGATGCACAGTTTATTATATTGTTGGAGCAAATTATCTCTCAGTGTGATGAGTTTACTGCTTGCAGCTATACCACGAGGAGCAATAAGGAAGGTTTGGCTGATTTAGAGACAGACATTAACAATCTTTCTACGTGTATCTTAAAATCAAACTAGGGCTGCAAGTATTGATTATTCTCATTATTGATTTGTCTGCCAATTATTTCTGGATTAACAGTCTTTAAAGTATCAGATGATTGTGAAAATATGAAAGTTATGTTTTTAGATGTCCAGTTTTGTCAGTGCACTGGTCAAAGATATTCAGTTTAATATGATATAAAACAGAGAAAGCAGAAAATCTCCATATTTTGAGGAACAAAACAGCCTTTTCTGCTACTTTTTGCATGAAAAAATACTTAAACGGTAAATCCATTAACAAAATAGCTGGCAATTGAATTTTTGGCCATTTGACCAGAACAAGTAGTAGGATTATTGTTAAAGCTTTAAATAAAAAATGGTCAATTACGCATATATAGAATTCTTTGAATGTTTGCTTTGCTTTAGAATATTCAAACGTGACCAAAAGAAAAAAGCAAAGAATTGTATTTTCCGGCATAATAAAAGCATGTATCTCACAATTGTTTTAATTTTGGGGGTTAATCAATTCTCAAAGTTAAATAAACCATTTTAAAACCTGAACAATACATTGTTACTAAGCTGGAAACAGGGCTGTTTTACTTGGCTCACCAAAAGTGGAAATGTTTTTGAGAAATGTGGTTTTAACTGGAAAGCAACAACATGCTTTTGTCTATCTAATAAAAAGAAATATATTACCAATATCAACCCACGCTTTTATCCTTTGCTTCAATATTAATTTCCCCTCTTGGACAATAAAGTTGAAATCTTCAGTTCAGTGCTACAAGTGCGTCATCCGTCAGGTCATCCAAGTTCATATGCCGAGACTACTGACTCACTATATTAACTCGCCATATTATAATATTGCGGATCAATATTTAACTTTATTCAACATGAATGCTGTATTTTCATAAAGCGGCGTTCTTCTGAGAAGAGCGGTGGGATGAGAGAGAGGAGTGTGTCGCAGAGAGCGGGTGGACGGGGTTGAGATATTGAGGGACAGAAAGGAAAAAGATGAGGATGGAGGGATGAGAAGGGATAGTTTGTGGCCCCGGGAGGCCTATCCCCTGCTGCTGCTGTTGTTGTTTTATAATGAACTACTAAAGCCTTCATTTCCCTCACTACCCCGAGTTGGGGGGGGGGGTGCAGCGATGGGGGCTGCTGAGTCCACAGCCGGATTCGCACGCACAAGCCCAGAGGGTAGCTGCTGCTTTGAGCGGGGTGGGGGGTTGGACGGAGCAGGGGTGCAACAGGCAAGCTCCTCTGTGTGTGTGTTTGAAAAAGTCCTGACAGCAGACAGGTGAGGGCAGAAAAGGTTTTTGCATATGTGTCTGTGTACATACTTGCCCTGTGCACACCTGTGGTCACTTCAGCAGGAATGATATGGGAGTGTGTGTTTGTAGTCTGGTTCTCCTGTGCGGGCAGTCAGCCGGCTGTATGCTGGAGCTTCTCTCCGTCACCCTGAATGGCACAATGTATGGTAACGCTGGTGGTAACAATATCTCTTGTGTCTGCACTGGCCTGGTTCAGGTAAAGGTTACTATGCTCTGATGGATGAAGATGAATTGGCACACCGGGGCTGCTGAGGCATTTGTATGAGATATGTATTATATTTGCATTGCTTGGCGAAAAATAAATATTATCCAAAGCAACATACATAGCTTTCGGGGTTTATACATCACTCATTTGTGTAAGAACAGTAGAAGTTAACTGAAGCGTAGAAGGCTTAGATACTTTGCTCAAGGACACAAAGCGCAAGGCCGTTCCTGTAATCGGAACCTGAGCCTCGGGTCAAACTTCTACACCCTACACGACTTCCGCCTCTGAGGAGAAGGCGCTGAGATAGCATCAGTGCGGGGCCTAATCCCTACAAACACTCTGACATGGCACAGAGAAAACATTAAATGATGAACAAGATGAGGAGGGACGCAGATTTGGTGCAGAAGAAGAGGTGAGAGAGTGAGAGAGGCAGAGTTGTGAATACGGCATGGGGTAGGAATTTGGAATGTGAAATGACTAATGCAATTGCTCAACCCACAACAAGAACATGCACTGCCTAGAGCTACGACAAGGCTGAGTGCATACCTCTATGGGGGGGCCTAACGCAGAGGCCGGGGTGGACGGGGAGGGTGGCTGAGAGACAGTGTGTACCTGTGAGACGGTCAAATGAGCGGGCAGCACGGTTGAAATTATGGATTTACGTCTGAGAACAGAGAAGAGATGATTAGAGTAGAATAGATATTTAGTGCAGTCAAGATAGTCCTGTAATACCAGAGTCTAGCCTCTACAACTTGGAGAACAGCGTCATGTGAGATGTTCATTTGATTAATTTACCAACAGAAAATGCATATTTCTTCATAACGGATAAAAAGTTTAAGTCTGTATTTTAAGCAGAATACCCAAAATGTATACTTCCAATTTCTCTAGGTTTGTTCCTACAACAATACCCCTATATGAATTCAACAAAAAATATTTGGGTTTTAGACTGTTAGTCGAACTTTCAGGAAATTATGACAGCATTTGGCAATGTCGGCCTAGATTGAAAAATATCAACTGTTAGATGGATAGCCATGACATTTTGTACAGACATTCATGGTTCCCAGATGATGAACCTTAGTGACTTTGGAAACTTTTGATCTAGGGCCGCCATCAGGTCAATATAATATTTGTACAATACTTTGGTTTATGAACAAATATTACAAAATTCATGACATTCCCATCGACTGTGGCTGACAAATCAACACGTTAGCCTTTTACAATCTGAGGTGGTTATCGTTACACCTGCTATACATCAGCTTGTTAGCTTTGTACATGTGAGAATGCTTGAGTAGAGCCTGAGTCATGAGTCTGATATTTGATTGACCAGATGATGAATCAATTCTTATAAAAACGCATCAACCGATTGATCAATTGTGAAACGTAACCTTGCTACATCTTTACTCTGTTCATAAAGAGACTGACAGTCAGCAGTGTCAGACTCACCTGACACTGTTGCACATCATTTCCTATGCACATATACAAGCAAATGTAACAAATGTATAAAATATAAATACATAAATAAATTAAGAATAGGGGTTAAAAGTCAAACATGGATATAACGGGTTTTTTGTTGTGAATACATAACAATTAGTTATATTCAAACATAATCTATTAACTATTTCTAAAACAAAAATTACTTTGAAAGCCTCTTTTAAAAAAATAGATTTATGAAAGTTTTGTAAAATAAAAGTTATATATCATGGAATCAATATATGACAGAAACTTTCAACCGACCCCTTGGCAGAGTGCCACACTATGAATCACTGTGTTACATTATTAAATCAACATTATAAATAAACATTTTCAATCAAAACGTCTTGCCCAGCTTGGTAGAAATTGTTTAAAAGATTGAGATGGAGGCTTGAGGGAGGTGGCTAACTACAGAAAGAAGAAGCGTAACGCAGTAGTTGGGGCAGCATACTGCAAAGTGTTGTGACTAGATTCCACACAGCAAAGATGCCTGGCATATGTTTACTGGCATCCGTCTTGACCAGTCCCTGGTTACCCCCCACCCCCACTGGGAAACTCCTGGAGGAGACTGTTCCCATGCTACTTCACAGAAACACCTGCAGCGCCAACAAAAAGGGTTTACATAGCAGCCGCTGTGATAGGACATGATATGCTCCCATATGACTGACTCCCAATGCCCATTTTACCGCACTCCTCTGCTTTTCTCTCAGCTGCAAACACCCCCCCCACACACACCCACACACACACACGCGCAAACACACACACACACACACACACACACACACACACACACACACACACACACACACACACACACACACACACACACACACACACACTGACCTCCATTACAACCATAACAAAACGTTCCCAGATCAACAATATCCCATAAAGGAAAATACAGATAAAGGGAAGAGCTATGTGTTCCCTAAACCAGCAACATCTCCCGGAAAAAGTCTAGAATGTCGCTGTGCTTGTATGCAGAAATATCTGCAGCTACACAACAAGCTTTATGTCAAATCAGCCGTGAACAGATTATGAAAGAAAAACGCAATAACGCAAAATGAAACAAAAACTGAAAAAAACAAGAGTAGTTTTTTTGAGTCATTTTGTAGTTGTTTTCCAGCTCTGTTTCGTCCATTTGCATCTCTAGATGGTAATTTGTGTCTTATTTTTAATCACTTTTCATTTCCTTTTGCATCAGCTT